ACGGTATGTAAGTCAAAAGATAAGGGTGGACTAGGAATCAAGGATGTCAGATTGTTCAATTGGGCACTATTGGGGAAGTGGGTGTGGAGGTGTATGATCTCTCCAAGAACGATATGGGCTAAGGTTCTTCAAGGTAGGTATGGGTGCATTGAGTCCTTTCCTAAGACTCCAAATGTGGATAAGAGGGATTCTTGGTGGTGGAAGGATATAGTTTGGGTGCTCCAACAAGGAAATTATTGGTTGGATGAAAAGATTGAACGTTGTATTGGTGATGGGTCTTCAACCAGATTTTGGGAGGATAAGTGGATAGGTGGTTTACGTTTGTTGGATGTCTTTCCTCGTTTGTACTCCTTTGCTTTTGATCCGTTGTCAATGGTGGGTCATAATGGTAATTGGGAGGGATCTACATGGCTGTGGCAGATTAAATGGAGAAGAGAAACTTTTGTCCATGAAGAAGGAAGTGTGAATACATTAATAGAAATGCTCCAGGAAATTCAAATTTTCTCTTCTAAACAAGATCAATGGAGATGGATTTGTGATAAAGATGGTGTATTTTCAGTGAAAAGTGCGTACTCTTGGCTGCAACACTCGATGGGTGGAGAACTTTCATATTCTTCAGATTTTATTCTAGTCACAAAAAGTCTTTGGAAATGCAAGGCTCCGATCAAGTGCTTGGTGTTCTGTTGGCAGGTATTCATGAATGCATTCCCTTGCAAATCATTGTTACAAGTTCGTGGTGTGGAGGTGGAAAATAACCTTTGCTCTCTTTGCTCTTTATTTATAGAAGACCCTATTCATCTCTTTCTATTGTGCCCAATGGCTTTTAATATTTGGTTATCTGTAGCCAATTGGTTGGAGGTAGAGGTGGTCCTTCCAAATTCCCTAACTTCTCTCTATCTATATTGGACGAATCTTGGTATTTATAAAAAATCCAAGCAGTGTTTTAAAGTGGTCTGGGTGTCTGTAATTTGGTCACTATGGCTTCATCGGAATGGTATAATTTTCCAGCAAGGTGTAATGGATTGCAAGGAAGTGTTGGACAATATTAAAATGCGGTCATGGAAGTGGATTAAAAGTTCTGTCCCTGGTTGTTCTTTTAGTTACTCTAATTGGTATTTTAGCCCACGTTTGTGTATTTCGTAATTTTTTATTAGGTTTTGAAATCTTCTGTAATGGGTTGGAGTACCCCTTGTACTCCTTTTAATCTAATTCTTTTGCTTATCAAAAAAAAAAAAGAATAATTGCTTACATATCATCACTTTCACTATAATGTTGTATTTTATTTATAACTCTCACTACTTAATATTGTATTAACTTTACATGAAAATCTAACAGACTCTTCACTTGCGATTTTCAATGTGACAAATATAAAAATTTTATTTTAATTTTATCTTCTTTTTATAACTCTTCTAAATATTCAACCTAACCCAACTTTACATGAGAATTCAATAGAGACTTTACAATTGTGATTTTCAATGACCCTAATATAAGAAGATCAAGAAATTGAAAGAGTTGCCAGGAATGAGATAGTCTTTTTCTTTTCTCACTACATTCTTAATTTGTAATTGTTTCCACTTACATAATTTGGAATTTGATAATAATATTTTTCTACCATGAAATCAAATTTCTTTTGGATGATTAGTTTTGACTGACATATGAATCTCTATTTTCTATAAAATCAAATGTAGCAAAAAATTAATGAATCCTTGAAATTCTTATAAGACTTTTTTTTTCCATCTACTTCAAAACATGTATATTTCATAGTCTTTTCTTGTTATTTTTTTTCTTTTATTTTCTTATCGAGTCACTTTTTTTTTAATCCTTTTTCCTCTAAAAGATTTAGAGCATACTTAACCCACCTTTACATGAGAATTTAGTAGAGGCTTTATAATTATAATTTTCAATAATACAAACATAAGTATAATCAAGAAAAAAAATTTCCACGATTTTCAATAATACATAATTCATGAAATTGCCAAATTGAGAATAGTTTTTTCTATTTTTTTATTGTTCTAAAGGAAAGTGGCTAAAAGTGAATGAATACTTAAAATTCTTACAAACTTATTTTTTCATATTTTTTGTTAAAATGTGTATGTTTTATAATCTTATTTATATATATATATATATATATATATATATATATATATATATATATATATACCTATTAAAGTAATATTTTTTATAACTAATTATTTTTTTTACACCATAACTAATTAGTATTAAATAACTGATAATTAAAAAATATATTTAATTAATAATTATATATTATTGATTGATTATATGAATTTTAAATTAAGAGACTGAATTTAATTAAAATATCAATAATAGAAAAATAATAAATAGAAAATAAATATATTAATTATAAATATAAAAGAAAATAATATATAATTATTGATTATATTAATTTATATCAAAACTTTGATGTTTGTAATATCAATATTGAGTAATTTGAAATTTTATTAAAGAGTTTTTATAATCTTAATGTGTAGTTAAGAGATTAAATTTAATTAAAAGCTCAGTTATATAAAATAATTAATAATATGTAATTATTACCAATAATAAATAAAATAAATATCTATTTATATTTATAAATTATAAGTTATGAAACAAAACATTATCATGTCATTATGATATTTATTGGTACATTATAATAATTTTCATTTTTTAGTTTAATGACAAAATAAATAATTGTAACTTTGTGGTGACATCATGTCTAAGGGTCATATCCTATATAAAGAAATCAAGAGGAATGGATTGAATTCGAAGAGAAGACCCAAGCTCTTATTAAGTCTTGGGTTTCCATTTTGTAGCTTGTTTTCTCTATATCTTCTTTGTGTATATTTTTTTGTAAATATTTTATTTATTTAGACCTTGTATTTTAGTCAAACAATGTAGAAATTATTGTCCTCATATATTTGTTTTATATAATTGGGTGTAAATAGTAATTTTGGAGAGGTGCAACCGGAAAAGATTATTTGGTCTTGTTGGGCTTCAATGACCCAAGAACATATTGTCTTTGGCCCATGATTGGACATCCACTTATTTATGCAAGTGGTTTGGATGTCCAAAACATGGAAGGGACCATATGTTCCTAGTCCATTCAAGTAGTCAACATGTCATATGATCTTATCTAATTAAACCAAACACACATTGTCACATGACAAATTTCCATTCGTTCTTTTAGATCTAGAATAGTGACATAAGTCACACTTTCCTTGCTTTGTCACGTGACAAAATCTCATTTGTCATCCTAGAACTAAGATAATGACATTTGGAGAACAAGTGGCCAAAATTAGTTAGGCTAGACTAGAGTTAGTAGTTTGAGTTTAAGTTAACCTAACTTAGGTTATTTTTTAATTAAATTCGTTTAACTTACATCATAAGCTTCCAAATCCTATATATAGGTCTCTCGTATTTTGGACGTCACTTTTGATGGTTTGTGAGAAATACATTTGATTTTCTCTTCCAAAAGTCCTAGTTATCTCTCTCTTAGAAATAATTCTTCTTATGAATTTTTATTAAAAATTTCCTTCTTGTGACTAATTCTTCATTTCTTATTCATCTTCTCTTTAGAAGTGGCGTGCCTCATCTCTCTACTCCTCCACCATTTGTGTTTTTGTTTTGATGTTTTGGAAGTCGTGAAAGAAGATTAGGAACACTAGAAGTTAGTGGGAGAGTTTCACCATCAACTCCAAGCTAGTTTCATCACTTTCCATTTTAAATTTTAAAAAGAAAATGAAAAGGTTTCATTATTGCTAAAATCATCTATTAGATAATTCACTTTCTGAAACGAGTTTAATTTTAGAAAAATTATTCAAAGTAAATTTGATGACTAATAACATCTTCTATTATAAATTTTTTTTTACATGTTAATTTAGAAAAGATAATCAAATTTTACATACAAAATATGTAATAGAGTTTGAATTAAATAATTTCAATAAATGTTGAGAAGAATCTTATATTATACAAATTATGTAATTTTATCTTTTTAATTGAATTATCTGCAAATTGATTTGGAAAGAGAATTATACAATTATAAAATGAGAATTAATATGTATCATATGACCACTAAATTTCAGGACATTATTCTTTTTATTTGTAGTTTCGATTATAATCTTTAATATCTTTAATTTCAATCATCCTTCAATACATCTTATAATTGAGTTAAATTTCAAAATCAATGTAGTAAAAATTTAAACAAAAACATAACAGGTTTCTTCCTTAATGATACAATAGACTCCAAAAACTAAAACTATAACAAAACTCAATATTTTGCCAATTTTCTTCTCCTAATTTGTCACAAATATATATACGAATCTTACATATAATTATTATACATTTGCTAATTTAATTTTTTAATATTTATTAAATATAATAATTTAATATAATTTTAATTTTTTTAAAGTATAATATATGCATTTCTATACGGTGTAACATTCGGATCAACATCTAATTTGATATTTTAAGAGTCAAAAGCACAATTTAACTTGGATCAAAAGTAGATATAAGATGAAGTGATTTTAATAAAAGTAATTTATTTAAATATATTAATAATAAAAAAAAACACTTTCAGATGTCTAATAAACAATAATGCTACATAAAATATTGTTAATGTAATATTATTAAATTATTATAATAACAAAAAAAAAAACTTTTGTGAATACAAATATCTGAATGCCTTCTGCTTCAAAAGCAATAAAATTATCAAAATCACGATTTAAGGTACAAATTAATTGCTTTTATAATTTAACCTACCATGTTAGCATAATAAATAAAATACATTTGCAAAGGTAAATGGGCTCATAGGGTAATTTTCGAAAGGCAGACCACAAAGTTTCAAGTCCATAACTTGGTTAAAGTACTAATGGGCTTACCTTACAACCATCCTACAAAGCAAGTTGTTGATCTGAAAAACAGCGTTCCGTTTTCTTAAATAAAAAAAAAAACTGTCATTAAAAAAATTAACGCCAAGACTTCTACTTTTTCAAGATACACAAGTATACCCCAGTGTGAAAAAAGATTAACTCAATAAACAACATAACTATAGAGAGAGATGTAGCCAAAACAGCAACACACATGCTGCAAAACAAGTAATCTGCATGCATGGTTTGAGTCCAGGGATCAATTCAGAAGTATGTTGAGTGCTCAGGTCAGCCACTAACAATTTACACAACATATCTATTGCATATTTATCAAACTTGAACATAACAGATTGTCTTTATCACATATACTAGGATAAAATCTCAAATAGAAAGCAATTAACCAATCTTGCCCATGATGCGATCATAGAGGCTCACAAACTCCTTTAGATAATCCTCAAACACCTCTATTTCATCCTGTTTGTTGTCACCATCAAGCAAATTTGAGGCCTTAGTAATTGCAGAACTAAGTTTGTCCCTTTCTTGTGAGCAAAGCTTTGAACTAGTATACTTGTTCTTCAAAACATTCCTCATCTTGTAAATGTAATCATCCAAAGAATTCCTGGCCTTAGCCTTCCTAAGGAACTTCCTATCTTCAGCCTGGTAAATTTCAGCTTCTAGAATCATTCTATTAATTTCTCCGGCTGACAGTCTCTCTTTGTTATTGGTTATCGTAATCTGATTCTTCTTGCCGGTGATTTTCTCTTCGGTAGAAACAGATAGGATACCGTTTTCATCTATGGCAAAGCAATCATACGTAGGATGGCCACGAGGAGCAAGAGGAAGACCAGAAAGCTGGTAAAAACCCAACAAATTGTTATCACTGGCTCTTGGTCGCTCGCCCTCATAAACCTCAGTCATGATAGAGGATTGGTTATCATAAACCGTAACGAATTTTTGTGTCCTCTTTACAGGAATAGTAGTATTTCTAGGAATCACCACACTCATGATATCTCCAAATGTCGATACACCAAGAGACAGTGGTGTCACATCCAGCAGCACCAAATTTGGAACATTCTTAACGCCTTCACTCAACAAAGCAGCCTGCACAGCTGCACCATAAGCAACAGCCTCGTCAGGGTTGATGCTCTTGCACAGATCCTTCCTGTTGAAGAAGTCCTGCAATAACTGCTGGACTTTGGGAATCCTAGAAGATCCACCCACAAGAACAATATCATGTACACTGCTCTTGTCCATCTTAGCATCAGTAAGACACCTCTTTACTGTCTCCATACACTCTTCAAACAGCTCCATATTCATTTCGTCAAACCTTGCACGAGTGATTGAAGAACAGAAGTCAATGCCCTGAAATAAAGCATCTATCTCAATGTTGGCAGTCAGTGCACACGAGAGTGTCCTTTTTGCCCTCTCGCATGCACTTCTCAATCTCCTAAGGGCTCTTGGGTTCCCACTAATGTCCACTTTGTTTTTCCTTTTGATCTCCTCTACGAAGTAGTTTACCATTCTGTTATCAATGTCCTCTCCTCCAAGGTGAGTGTTTCCTGCAGTAGCCTTCACTTGGAAGACCTTATCCTTAATTGTGAGGAGAGACACATCAAAGGTACCACCACCAAGGTCAAATACGAAAATATTTCGCTCACCAACACAATTAATTCTCCTATCAAGGCCATATGCAATAGCTGCTGCAGTAGGTTCGTTGATTATCCGCAAGACATTGAGGCCAGCAATGGTTCCAGCATCAATGGTGGCTTTACGCTGAGAGTCATTGAAATAAGCAGGCACAGTAACCACTGCATTCTTTACAGATGTTTCCAAATACGCCTCTGCAATGTCCCGCATCTTTGTGAGGACCATAGATGATACTTCCTCAGCTGAAAGATGCTTCTCCTGACCCTTATAGTTAACAACAATCATAGGTTTGTCATTAACACCAGAAACGACCTTGAATGGCCACATCATTTTATCCTTTTGAATAATTGGGTCACTATATTTCCTACCAATCAATCTCTTAGCATCTGAAAGTTATAAGAATTCTGATCATTTGTTTGTCCTGCTAAAATTCTACAGATAAAGCATAACTGCAAATATTTAAAGGAAGGCACTCATAAAAACAGAACAATTACCAAACACAGTGTTCTCTGCGTTTGCAGCAGCCTGATTTTTAGCTGCATCACCAATCAACCTTTGATTGTCTGTGAAAGCAACAACAGAAGGAGTGGTGTTGTTGCCTTGATCGTTGTGGATGATCTCCACCCGACAATGCTGCTCCTGCCATACTGCAACACACGAGTAAGTTGTGCCAAGGTCGATTCCCACTGCAAGTCCCTCGTATTTACTGCCCATGATCTGTCGAGTAAATGAAACAAGATAAAAAAATATAAAAAGAAATAAAAAAGTGATAAAAAATATAGAGAAAAAAAAAAAAAAAGTGATAAAAAATTAAAAGAAAAAAAAAAAAAAGTTGATGTTAAGACCCAGAAGAAATAGTGAAAGAAATTATGTGGGTTGTTACTAGTAATTCCTAAGTATTAGAATTGGATTTCAGCTAAAGAAATTCCCTTTGATATATATATGTGTGTAAGCTCTTAAATTGTGGATGGCAACTTTGTCAGAAGTGGAAATGTGTTGTAGCAGGATACTACAGTTGATATTACAAAATCTTGAATGACAAATAGCATAATAACTATATATGAAAATAAGATGAGGGTAATAGTTAAAGTAGTTAATTTTTACTATATAAGATGAACTACTTGTGTTTCTGTCTGAAGACACAAGTCAGGAATCACCCATCTCCGATGAACAGAGTATGTTAAAAATGGAGGAGAGTTTTGAGAAATATTAGTTCCTAAAATTTAGAGGAAAAAGAAAAGGTTGAATTTAAGAAGTATGAATGGAATAGGTTAGGGAGGAAAGTAAGTGATATGTATGAAAGTGAAGAGCAGGAGTAAAGAAATGGATTTGCAATATGCAGGTGATGGATGAACATGAAGGCATTACCTTGAATGAATATGGCTAATAAGAATCCCTATGGTAATAACCGCTCTGAATGTTTCCTTCACAATTATGAACTGAAATATAATATAATTGTGCCTCAAAGCCTCATACTTCGCAAGCAAGCTACCACTTGACTTGACTTGACTTGACGTCTTTGTTGCCCTAGCTTCTTTTCCAAGCCAACCTGGTTTTTTCACTACATTAGATTCCACCGTGTAAGAAGCATCTCTCGTGTTTTTTTTTTTTTTTTAATTAGTTGGTTTTATATATATATAAAAGAGAGATTTATTTATTTTAAAAATAAATTTATTTATACTTATTTTATTTAATAATTCACGTTTTATATCAAATTTTAACGATTAAATAATTGAATTATAAATTTTTAATATATAAATCAAGTTTGTAAATTTTATTAATAAAAATAAAAATTATTTAATATTCAATTTCATTAATTTAAATCAATGTATAATTTTTTTTATAATTATCTATTAATTTAAATTAATGAAATAAA